TCATAAAGTCCAATAATAATATCAAAATCTTTTTAAATTATTCACTATTCTCGTCACAGTGGTCATAGGAATTACCTTCTTCCGTTCTTCTGCTCTCACTGTACACTCAGCTGTTCAGATTTTTGCGCTGTCACTTTGCTTTCAAAATGGCTCCATTCCGATCTATCTTCCGTCGCCGCTTATCCTCTTTCTTTTTTCGGGTTTCTCTTCCACCAGCGCTGCTTCTTATTATCAGGTAGTTTTTTGGGTTTTTCTAGATAATAGTCTTCTGTTGATGACCTCTTATAGTTTTCAATCTTCGCTTCCCTCTTATACAGTTATCAGCGCCTCTGGCCAGTCCCGTAAGGCTGGTTTTTCCTCACTCTGGATTAAGGGCTTAATCTTGTACCTTCAGAGAAGTTGCGATCTCCTCTGAGGTCCTAAGATGTTCCCCTTTAAGCTATTGATCACTACGAGATCAATAGCGCCTGTTTCGGCTCCAGATGTGGGATTGTTAGGAACTCAGGAGCGGAGCATCGCCCCTTTCGTCCCTAACGCGCTGAGATCGCCGCCGGAAGTCGACTCCTTCTTCCTTCCATTTTGCCCACAACAACAACACTGTGAGGTGAGTTGGGCTGAGAGAAAATGGCTGGCCCAAAGCACTCAGCTGGCTTTCTAAGTGGGAATAGATTGCATAGTCTCCTGGTTTCTAGGCTACTTAACCACTATATCAAACTGGTTCTTTTAACCACTACACTGAATTGACTCTGGTTGCTTGTGATGGTTTGCAGGCATAAATGGCATGTATTAGAAAAGAGACAGTGATCTTGATTTTATTCACAAATTATTAAGTGGTGGATACTATATATCTTTCAAATATATTTTTCTATAGTGTTGTTTGGGGAAAAGGGAAGTCAAGTAACAATGATATGGAAATATCAAAACACCATCTGTTTTCATTTACTGTATATGGACAGGAGAAATAAACATAATTTGGCTAATATTTTGATTTGTTGAACCATATCTTGGGTAATATGCAGTGGTGAAACTGAGCCAGTTTTATCCGGCTCGGGTGAACCGGTAGCGCTGGTGGTGGGAGGCTCCATCCACCCACCCAGATGTCATCACAACCCAGTTTTGACCCTCTGCACATGCGCAGAAGGCTCTGCACATGTTTGGAGGAGGCGCACACGTTCACATGTGCGAACCGGTAGTGAAGGTAAATAAATTTCACCCCTGGTAATATGCCAGATGGATGGATGGATGGATGGATAGATGATAGATAGATAGATAGATAGATAGATAGATAGATAGATGATAGATAGAAGATAGATAGATAGATAGATAGATAGATAGATAGATAGATAGATGATAGATAGATAGATAGATAGATAGATAGATAGATAGATAGATAGATAGATAGATAGATAGATAGATAGATAGACAGACAGACAGACAGACAGATAGAGGGATGGGTTCTACTTACCTTTACTACCGGTTTGCAGCGGGGCCGTGTGCTTGCACGAGCAAAGCGAGCATGCACACACTCTTCTGCCTGTGCGCAGAAGCATTTTGGTGACATTGGAGTCGGTGGGTGGGGCCTCCCGCCGGTTTTACTACCGGTTCTATAAAACCGGTGCAAACCGGGGGCAACCCACCACTGGATAGATAGATAGATATATAGATATAATAGATGATAGAAGACAGATGAGATACATAGACAGACATAATATTGCACTGTATATATTAGGAGATTGGATTAATTCTGATTATATTGCATTACGCATTAGATAAGTTCATAATGGTTAAATCTTATATCTACCTATCTGTCTGTCTATCCTCTGTATCTGGTAATTTGATACAGAATTTTGTTGGTAGGTTTGCCTCTACCTAAATATGAAATATGTAGATAATAAAATTGATAATTGATAAAATTGAATAACATGACAAAAATAGATTGCAAAGTTCTCCTGAAGGACAACTAGATTTCTGCTTGTTCATTCTAGGATATATCTCACAGAACTTGGCAAGACTTTCTTCTGGATATGCATCTATAAAGTTGTACTTATAGTTGATGACAAATTTCAGACTAGGCTAAGTCCCAAGAAAATAGGATGCCCTAATCACCCACAGGTTAATAATCTAAATATAATAACAATATTTCTGTCCAACATGCCTCCAACTGTGTCATTGTCTGACATCGCCAATGACTTCATTGGTAGCAGCTGTTCATTTCTCAGTAAGTCTGACCTTCTTCATTCTCATTCTCATTCTATTCTCCTCTTGAGTTTGCTTCAGCTCTTTCTGCCCTCATGAACTGACACAGCTGGTATGGTTGGAAATTTTTCAGGCTAGGTTCTTTCTATTTCATACTAGCTGATAACCCACCTCTGCCTGGGTATTTATAGACGTTGAAGCATTTGTCTGACAGAGAGCCATTGAGAGGGGTCTTTCTATCCCCCACTCCCATGCCCATCATCCCTGCCCTCTCCCATCTCCCTCCCACCCCCTACCTGCGCCACCATCTGTTTTACCGTTTTCTCAAACTGGGCCTGGGACTGGAACATAAATCCCTGAACTGAGCCATGCTGCACCTCCTCCATCCCTGCTGAAATAGGCTGGGTCTCCTCTGTGGCCTCCATACCTGTTTCACCTCAGTTGGTGTAGTCCTGTCCTTCACACGATGAGTTGGGGTGAAGGATGATCCTGGGAAAATGGGCTGAAGCTGTGAGGTGGGGGTGGACGATCCAGTTAGGCTGTGGTGCGCTCAGTCAAAGTCCTCTGTACTGGCCTAATCAGGCTCCCTTCATAGGCCTACTGTGTGAGGGAGGCCTAAGCCTTAAAGGACCACTGTGTGAGGGATCATGCTCAATCAAAGGCTTCTGTAATGGCCTAATCAGGCTACCTTCATAGGCCTATTGCTGTACTGGTCTAATCAAGCTCCCTTTCCCCTCCCATGATACCATGAACAAATGTTGCTCTAGGACGTCACACTCATTCTCCTTAAAGGCCCAGGCTTTCCAGAGTTATGCTGGAACACACACACACAGATACACACACAATACCTCAGGGGTGTCTTACTCCCAGCGTGTTTGTCTCCGGAGGGTAAGTCATCTGTGTACCAAGTTTGGTCAAAATTGCTCCAGGCGTTCCAGAGTTATGCTTGAACAAACAAACAAACATACATACATCCTATATATACATATTTCAAGTGTGTGTGTGTGTGTGTGTGTGTGTGTATGTCTCTTTAGCCAGGTTCTACCTACGTAAACCAAGATATTATGCAGCCCTAGTTCAGTGAAATCACAATTCACTAGTTTCTGGGCTTTTTTTTCTTTTTCTGGCAGCCAGCAAACCTTTTGCTGCCCATTGGGAGACAATGGGCAGCAAAGCAGCAAAAGGTTTGCTGGCTGCCAGAAAAAGAAAAAAAAGCCCAGAAACTAGTGAATTGTGATTTCACTGAACTAGGGCTGCATAATTCTTGGTTTACGTAGGTAGAACCTGGCTAAAGTGAAATACACATAAAACCTACAAAAAGGAAAGAAAAACAAATATTGTACCTTTATAGGGAGGATACATGAGATGAGAGTGTGGCTAACTGATGAGGCCTTATAAGGCCCGAAATAGATCTATTTTAGTCTCCCAGAAACTAGTGAATTGTGATTTCACTGAACTTAGGGCTGCATAATATCTTGGTTTACGTAGGTAGAACCTGGCTAAAGATATATATATATATATGAATTACCAGATGAAATATTTTAAAGCAATCATTCAATTTAAGTTGAAATGGGCCAAGTAAAAAAGTTAATAATCCAATGGTTACAAAATACAGGTGGTAACTGTCATAATTCTTTCAAGTCAGGTATATTTACATGACAGGGTGGTCAATAACTTGTCAAGTGTTGAATTTTGATCTGAATATCTAATGTGGTTTATGGGGTTTTATAGAAGCACTAAGTTTTGTGCATACCTAACAGGAATTAATTCATTGGTGATTTTGTTAAATGACCGAGGAACTCATTGTATTCAAGGAGGTGAATAGCAGCTTTGATGAAATTCAGGATTGAATGGAAGACCAAGATAAAGCATGAATGAATGGATGTGTCATTTCTTGACAATATTGCAATGGTCTTTCTTCCTTTTAGAGTAGCTTAACTTTGACCAGCTCAACCTGTCCTAAAATTCCCAGATTGAGAGTTTCCCACTGTAGTTCCATATGTAGTTGGAGGACACCCAAGATGGGAAGTTCTGAGAAAAATGCCCCAGATTCTAAAATATTTTTGAAACTAAGCATCTACTTCAAATTATATTTCTCTTTGAAGTTGGTATTTCTGGTAAGGCACCAGATTTTAATGTAACCTTGCTTACTTTAATATTATTGGGGCATGATCTACGTAAGTATGGAATTTCAATGAGAGTTTGTTATATAGCAAAATTTGCAATGTAGAGTTACTGAGCTAAAGAGAAGAAAGGGGAAAAGCAAAGCTAGGTGGGTTGTTGTTGTTTTGTTGTTGTTTTTGGGAGGAGGGGTTTTGCCATTCTAGACAGAGGCCCACAGGGCATAAGTATCAAAATTACTGGGTATATAATGTAGCCTCAAGAACTGTGAAAAGCTATCTTGAACAGATGAAATTAGGCTTTCGTTTCCTAAACTATTCCTCCAACAGAAATTATTTTTAAAAATGTGCATTTACTACCGTTGTAATTTATATTGATGTAAATGCTGACATTCTACCCTTCATAAGGAATAATGTGTATCTAAATATAGCCCCCAATGATCATTATTTTGCTTTCCAAAGATAAAACATGCTGAGCACTAGTGTGTCATCCTGAAAGCTAACTTCTGAGATCGTTAGCAAAATCTTTATTTTTACAAAATGATGTTATAATGTAATTGCAATTTAGACTAAAGAATCAGGTCTAATTCCCCAGGCGATGGAACATATTGGCTTCAGCATTGGATTGACTTCAAATCATAACCCCAAGAAATATCTACCTCCTTTTTTTTTTTTTCCCTTTAGGTAGCTGGATCCATCTACAATTTTACTGGCTGTATAGAAGTTACAGAAATCAATAACCTGGGACCTTACACCTTTCCTAATGCTGTGGATAAAAACAATATTGACAGCTGCAGGTAAATCAACTTCTATGTCTTTTTCAATCAAAAGAAACTGATCCTTTACAATTCTCTAGGCTTCAGAAACTTTGTCTTGTTTTTATTTGGGTCTGAAGTACATATACAAAAAAATCTCTCTCTCTCTCTCTCTTTCTCTGTCTCTCTGTCTCTCTCTCTGTTTTTCTGTCTCTCCCTGCCTCTCTGCCTCTCTTCTATCTCTCTGTCTCATGTGTGTTTATGAGAGAAAGAGAGACACAGCGAGACAGAGATGCAGAGAGAGAGAGAAAGTCTTGGCCAATTAAATCTGATAAATTATATATTTGAGCTTCTGGCCAATGGAACAAGAAAATTCAATATTTGTTTACAAAAGAAGAGGGAAGCAAGGAAGGAAGGAAAGGAAGGAAGGAGGGAGGCAGGAAGGAAGGAAGGAAGGAAGGAAGGAAGGAAGGAAGGAAGGAAGGATACCACTGCTTGTTATTTGGTCAAACTTTCATTATATATTTCAAGGAAAGTGAAGGTGGTGTTACCCGTTTAAAGTGGAGTGGTTATCTTGGTGAACATGGATGGCAGGAGGTGAAAGGCATTGGAATTCCCTTTTAATAGAAGTTATTCAAATCTATTTATTTCATCTGATTAAAAAATAAGTTTGAGATATTAAGAGTGATTCTGTAAAGCAGCAGCTACATCTTTCTAAAAGTTCCGTTATGAATTTGCAATTTTGCCTAAGCCATGTGACTAGTTCAGCTTTGTGCATTTATTTTTCTTACTTTCATTTGATGCTAGAACACTAAGAGTGGTTAGATCTGAGGGACTTGGTTGAAATAAATAAAACGGGCCAAGGGCTTATATAGAGAGAGATGTTTCCACTGCTTAAAATCTGTGCTTATACAGACACTGAGGAAGATTGTCAATTTTATACAATGCATCTGTCAATAATCATTTTGTAAAGTAGGCAGGCAGGGACTCATATTCAGAAAAACAAAGACAGTATTGAAATTTGATGATGAACTATAAAATTCATAGAAAACATTTTTTTCAGGTATCTTAAACCTGAATTACTTTATCACTCTCAACATTATTCCAACATTATTCCCATATGGCTGACATCTCATTGTATGAGATTTCTTCAGTCTTCCAGCTCATGTTATTTTGTGCAGGAACAGAGAAATATTTATAAATTCAGACTCTTAACAGAATCAAAATCAGTGCATTTGCAATTGGTTTTGATGTCTTGTCGACTATGAATTTAGATAGGCAAACATTTAAAGAAGTTATTATTTATAGCATATAATTTTAAGAAGGTAAATTTAATATATTTCACATCTTTCATTCTCTGTTCACTGTTGTGCAACAGAAATGGAATTTCATTCTCACACTTTATGGTATGTTTTATATTGTACAATTATTATTGTTGTTAAATAAAGCCTTTACAGTACTAAAAAAATCCCTACAGATTTGTTTGAAATCTCCAATGTGCTACACAAGTCTTTTAAATTACAGTATGTGCAGACCTTGACTAGTTTAATAGAAATTCTAAAACTGTTTCTGAAGTGCCAATTCTTTTATATTCTTTTAGCTTCTTTTTTATGATGCCAGCTTTATCACCAGTGAAATTGGGTTTGCCTGATTCAGCATTAACTGCTGTCCTGTAGGTTTAAACCCATGCGAGCAAAAATCCTGTATTAAGATATTAATTCTTGGTTTAAATAGAACTGAAGTGAAATGTTATTGTTTGCTTTTGCAGCCATGTATGACATTTAGCCTGCCATAACGGGAGAAATAACTGGAGAAATTACAATAGTATTTTCAGATTTAACAATAGATAGATAGATAGATAGATAGATAGATAGATAGATAGATAGATAGATAGGTAATTTGCATTCTCCAAGCCTCTGATCAGTGGTGGCTTGCTACTAGTTCGCCCTGGATCAGGCGAACTGGTAGCGGTGGTGGTGGGAGGCTCCGTCTACCTACCCGGATGCTTCTACCCATGTGCAGAAGCGTTGAACAAGTGAGTGAGCGCCCACGAGCGAACCAGTAGCAACGGGCTTTCAAACCCACCTCTGCCTCTGATTGTGTACCATACCTTTCTATAGATTTTTAGGACTGGGCTTTTTAAAGAATATAATAATAGAAGTTTCTCTGCTTTTAACCATTGCATGCATGTTGTGGTTCACCTAATGAACCTTCATTGGAAAGATTTTTCCAAAAACAATATTCCATGGTTTTTGCCTGGTAGTAGTCTGAGCCTTCCTTCCTTCCTTCCTTCCTTCCTTCCTTCCTTCCTTCCTTCCTTCCTTCCTTTCCCTTTCCCTTTCCCTTTCTCTTTCCCATTGCCCTGCCCTGCCCTCCCCTGCCCTCCCCTCCCCTTGCCACACCACGCCTTGCCTCGCTTTGCCTTGCAATTTTGACACTGTCTATTCAACTGATTCTGGGAAGTTCATAAAAACACAAAAGCCAATACCAGCCCAAAATCAGGTGGACTCTGAGCACAATATACAAACACATGCCAACTGGACCAAAACCATGAGTGAAAGGTGATTCCTCAAGTAATCTGGCCCAAAGCTATATACATTAGGTAATAATCAGTTCCCTGAATCGCACCCAGACCCAGTGCAGTTCATAGGCAGAGGCATCTCCTAGGTGTACTGAGGCATGCCCATCACTGCCCATGCTGCTGTTTTCTGGACCTGCTAGTGATTTTCAAAGGTAGCCTCATGTGGAACACTCTGCAGTAGTCAAGACTCGAGATGACTAGGGCAGGAGTGACTCTCTGAACAGCCTCCCAATCCAGCAAAGGGTGCAACTGAAGCGGTGGATGTGATGTGCCGATGCCTGGAGGCTGTGAGGGTCTGGATGGGAGTCAACAGGCTCAGACTTAACCCAGACAAGACCGAGTGGCTGTGGGTATTGCCTCCTAAAGACTATGTCGATTGTCCATCCCTGGTTCTGGGGGGGGGGAGAGAAATTGTCCCCCTCAGAACAGGTTCGCAATTTGGGTGTCCTCCTAGACTCACAGCTAAGATTAGAGCAACATCTAGCAGCTGTGGCTAGGGGGACCTTTGCACAGGTTCGCCTGGTGCACCAATTGCAACCCTACTTGGATCAGGAGGCTCTCCTCACAGTCACTCATGCCCATGTCACCTCACGGTTAGATTATTGCAACACGCTCTACATGGGGTTACCCTTGAAGAGTGTTCGGAGACTACAGTTAGTCCGAAATGCACCTGCGCGAGCTATCGTGGGTGCACTTAGATGCACCCACATTACACCAATTCTCTGCGAGCTGCACTGGCTCCCTATTGGTCTGCGGGCACAATTCAAGGTGTTGGTTATTACCTTTAAAGCCCTACATGGCTCAGGGCCAGGCTATCTTCGAGACCGCCTTCTACCGCATAGCTCCCAGCGACCGGTAAGATCCCACAGAGTTGGTCTCCACTGGGTCCCATCAGCTAAACAATGCCAGCTGGTGGGCCCGTGGGGGAGGGCCTTCTCTGTGGCTGCCCCAGCTCTCTGGAACCAGTTACCTCCTGAGATCCGGACTACCCCCACCCTATTGGCCTTCCGGAAAGTGGTGAAGACCTGGCTCTTCCAGCAGGCCTGGGGCCGTTGATCTCGCTGTTCAATCTTGTGAGATCTGGCCATGGATGGTGTGCATGTGTTTTTAATGTTTTTAAAATGCTTTTATAATGTTTTTTTTTTTTAAATTATGTTCATTGTTTGTATTATTTTTGTTGTAAGCCGCCCAGAGTCACTTGGGAGTTGGGCGGCATAGAAATATGATTAATTAAATTAATTAAATTAAATTAAACTGGTATATCAGATGGAGGTGATCAAAGGCCTTCTTGGCCACCCAATTCTTATTATTCCTTAAATGAACATGAAACAGAGACACAAATCTTTCATTGCCAATTTCTAAATAGGATTTCACCTTTCACAGCTGAAAATCTTTACATTAAACATGAGCCTGTTAAATAGTCAAGATAATTGACCAGCCTCTGTGAAAAAAGGGACAAGACAATTTTAGAGCCTCAGAAATTCGCTCAAACTCTCTTTCATATTTCTAACCTTCTCATAATGCGGAAGGATGCTGAGATTTTGTTTCATTCAGAGGAAACATCCATTCTTTAGAACTATTCCCACTAATCCTCTTTCAAACTTTCTTGTCTTTTCATATCTGTTGTCTATATATTTTTTTGATCTAGCCATTCACAGCTATCTAATTATTCTTCCACTTTAGTTAAAATCAAAACATGCCTATGTTCATGAGACTTTTTTTGTTTTGTTTTTAAGGTACAGGTTGTGAGTGTATTTTAAACTCATGGATATTTAAACAGTTTGGAATTTACTCAAATATCTTCTGCTATTTCTATAACTAGATCTGTTTGGATTTCAAAATACCAAAAGGCAAGCTGACGTGTGTGCAGAACATAGTGAGCCTTCAGAAAAATAAGCTCTATATGCAGTTCATTAACCTTTTGAAGTCTGTTTGTTCTCATTCTTTAAAACAGTTCTACTAAAAAAAACCAGCATCTATTTCACATTTTTGGCAAAGCCGTCTCTTTATTATGCATATGAACAACTTGTTTTAAAAAGTACAAATACTAAACATGCACAACAATGTTAGAAAAAAGGCCATAACACATGAAGGGTTGGAGAAACGAATGCAACTCCTTTATGGCTTCCTTGTACCAAGAAGGATGCTTAAGTCAAATGTTAGATCTGCTTCCAGTAGTTTTTTTTTTTTTCAATAGGTCGCAGGGGGCACTTAATGTTCATATTCCTTGAAACTCCAACCCAGGGAGTTGAAGTCCACAAGTGGTAAAGTTGCCAAGGTCAGAGACCCCTGCTCCAACCCCAAGAAAAAATTAGCTGGCAATTGCTCTTTCTGATGGACAGGATTTTAAGGGAGGATCACCTTGAAGACGGAAGACAAAGTCCAGGGCTGGTCTTCTTCATTTCACAAAGAAGACTTCAAACTGAATAGCTGCTCATTGTACCTACCACTCCATTCTGCA